AAAAACTGAAGCGCTCAGGTGAGATGGACTGTTTTAAAAATCTTAACCATCCAGCCTCTGTCTCTCTTTTGTGTCCTTATGTAGAAAAACTGAAGTCTGAAATAATGTGGAGAAATCAAATTTAACACAGTCCCTCAGTACCTCTCCTGGTATTTTTTATTAAAAGTGTAAGTGCCACTCCAGTGGACTTACACATTAACCACATCAGGGTGTTTGAATCCTATGGAGTCGCCTCTGCATTTCTAATTGTGGCAAGCTATTTAAATTGTCATTACAATAATGCTGGCCACATACAGGTGCTGGTCATATAATTAGAACTGGTCATATAATTAGAATATCATCAAAAAGTTGACTTATTTCAGTAATTCCATTCAAAAAGTGAAACTTGTATAATTTATACATTCATTCCACACAGACTGATATATTTCAAGTGTTCATTCCTTTTAATTTTGATGATTATAACTGACAACTAATGAAAATCCCAAAATCAGTATCTCAGAAAATTAGAATATTGTGAAAAGGTTCAATACTGAAGACACCTGGTGCCACACTCTAATCAGCTAATTAACTCAAAACACCTGCAAAGGCCTTTAAATGGTCTCTCAGTCTAGTTCTGTAGGCTACACAATCATGGGGAAGACTGCTGACTTGACAGCTGTCCAAAAGACGACCATTGACACCTTGCACAAGGAGGGCAAGACACAAAAGGTCATTGCTAAAGAGGCTGGCTGTTCACAGAGCTCTGTGTCCAAGCACATTAATAGAGAGGCGAAGGGAAGGAAAAGATGTGGTAGAAAAAGTGTCCAAGCAATAGGAATAACCGCACCCTGGAGAGGATTGTGAAACAAAACCCATTCAAAAATGTGGGGGAGATTCACAAAGAGTGGACTGCAGCTGGAGTCAGTGCTTCAAGAACCACCACGTATGCAAGACATGGGTTTCAGCTGTCGCATTCCTTATGTCAAGCCACTCTTGAACAAGACACAGCGTCAGAAGCGTCCCGCCTGGGCTAAAGACAAAAAGGACTGGACTGCTGCTGAGTGGTCCAAAGTTATGTTCTCTGATGAAAGTAAATTTTGCATTTCCTTTAGAAATCAAGGTCCCAGAGTCTGGGGGAAGAGAGGAGAGGAACAGAATCCATGTTGCTTGAAGTCCAGTGTAAAGTTTCCACAGTCAGTGATGGTTTGGGGTGCCATGTCATCTGCTGGTGTTGGTCCACTGTGTTTTCTGAGGTCCAAGTTCAACGCAGCCGTCTACCAGGAAGTTTTAGAGCACTTCATGCTTCCCGCTGCTGACCAACTTTATGGAGATGCAGATTTCATTTTCCAACAGGACTTGGCACCTGCACACAGTGCCAAAGCTACCAGTACCTGGTTTAAGGACCATGGTATCCCTGTTCTTAATTGGCCAGCAAACTCGCCTGACCTTAACCCTATAGAAAATCTATGGGGTATTGTGAAGAGGAAGATGCGATATGCCAGCCTGAGCAGTGCCACAGACTGATCGACTCCATGCCACGCCGCATTGCTGCAGTAATTCAGGCAAAAGGAGCCCCAACTAGGTATCGAGTGCTGTACATGCTCATACTTTTCATGTTCATACTTTTCAGTTGGCCAACATTTCTAAAAATCCTTTTTTTGTATTGGTCTTAAGTAATATTCTGAATTTGGGATATTCATTAGTTGTCAGTTTTTAATCATCACACATTAATTTCACTTTTTGAATGGAGTTACTGAAATAAATCAACTTTTTGATGATGTTCTAAGCATATGACCAGCACCTGTACACAAAAAACACCAAATCTTTCAGCATTAGCTGCTCTGATCTCCTGTCAAAAACAGCAGTTATACTCAAAAGTGCTGGCACTCCATATAGGCCATCAGAGGGTATGTTTCTGTGGGTCGCTGGAGAGCTGTCTACACCGGGAACCATCCTGGGAAGCAAAGTTTGGTAGAAGTCTATAAAACTGACACCGTAATCATGTTTAGGGGATAAATTTCAGCGGATCTGTTGTCTGTTCTGTTTCCTTATGTCACGCTAAGTTGACTTGATTGCTAACAACAAGTAAAGATGCAGGCCTTACCTGAACCCCGGTGAGCTCTACTAGCTTGCCTTTGCCGCTCCACTTGTCCTTGCATTGTTACGCATTGCCCCAGCAATCCTCTTCTTAGTTTACTAACTGTGCACTGAGCTGAACGTTTAGGTTAACGAACTGACGCTAACCGAAACTAAACCGAAATATGTTAGGGTGAGGATCATCTTTTTATCTCAACTATCCGCCACTCCCATTTTTTCATATTACATAAGACCCGTCCTCTTGAAGCTTGGCAACAAATCAAAATGAACAAAGACTGCTTATGAGCAAGCCATTAATATGAATATGTGCTGGTTGTCATAGTTTTCTACTGAGTCAGTAAGTTGAATATCTTTTGGTTTTCGGCTGTTGGTTGGACAAAACAAGCAAGTCGACTTGGGCTCTGAGATGTATTGATGGGCATTTTTTCTTTTTTTACTATTTTCTGATTCTCTTTATAGATTAAACAATCAATTCAGAAAAGAATCAGCAGATTAATTGATAATTAAAATATGCATTAGTTGTACCTCAAATGGAAATTCTTACACTCAAATAATTACTAATGCTGTTTTAATAAGGTTGCCAACGAACTGCCCTTCAAAACCGCTAAACATTTCAAAAACCTCTGATTGGACAGTGAGTCTTCACCCCACTTGATAAAAGAAGCCTATCAAAGAGACAAACTGGAAGCAGGCATGGTTCTCTGTTGCTTAGTTTCAAACAGAGAGAGGTCAGAAGGCCTGACAGACTCTCAGCCTCTTGCTGCGCCGCTGTCAGAATGAGTGAGTAGAGGTGTCAGTCAAACAGTAGTCCAAGTAACTGCCCAACACATCGGGAAAAGAAGCAGCTGCTTAGAAGAGATGTGTTTCACAAGGACTAACAGACACAACATACCAAACAACTTGCACAGTTCACCCACTTGTATGTCAGTAGAAGAACACACACGATTATAAGTTGAAATGACATTTTGTGAAAAGTGGGAATGAGCTGTTTTAAATGGCCTTTTAAATGTGTAAAAAATAACCCTGACATTTCAGTTAATTTCATTGTACATTTTCTTGTATATTTTATAGCATTATTTTGAAAAGAGGTAAACCAACAACTTTTACATTTCTGTTTGCTTACGGGTTAAACAAGTGGCTCTAGCTCCATACTTGAGGCACAAGCATGAGAGGAATTGATCTTCTCAGCAAGAAAGCCAAAAAGGCTTTTTCCATAAAGTTTTTATTTAAACCTAAAGTTTAAGTGTAAAAAAAAAAAAGTCTTCAAAGGAGACAGGGGAACATTTACAAACATCCCCATACATTGACACTGGGAATAATGGGTTAAATGACAATGACATAGCCCAACTGGCATCATTAACATGATGAAATGACCTATTCGGTTGATAACTGATATTTAAGTGACCAGTTTTGCATAATTAATTGCATGGATGGATTGCAGAGCAGGCAGGCATAAACATTAACTAGATTGTTATAATCAACGCTTCATTGTGATTTATACACACACACACACACACGTGACCTTTCTAATAATCAGATAGCTCTCGTGCTGATTGGAGGAGGTGGTGGGGGAGTGAAATTTAGTCTTGGGACATGGGCTACCCTTGTTCCCTTTGGATTTTTATGTTTATTCCACATATATATATATATATATATATATATATATATATATATATATATATATATATATATATATATATATATATATATATATATATATATATATATATATATATATATATATATATATATATATATATATATATAGGTCTAAATATAAGACATTTTTCTTCCTGGAAATGTGTCTGAAAAACTCACCTCGTCTTATTTTCGGGGTCTAGCGCTTTAAATGTTAATATACACCCACAACAACAGATGGCGCCAAATATCGGCAACGCGCATGTTTCCCTCCTGACTGAAGCGTGTCACCTTCCTACTGAGACAGAGGGACACAGCAATCTTGTCACTGTTAACCAACAGCTAAGGGGGAGTTATGATGCCAATTTTAAGATGGTGATAAATGCAGCGGAGTCATCAACAACTCTCTCTTTGCATTTTATGATAAGTGCAAATAATACAAGTCATTCCTTTACAAATGTGATTACCTGTACATTTTATTTAGTGGTAATTTAAATGTTACCATTTCATTTATAAAGATTGAAAAGATTATTTTATTTAAAAGATGTTAAAAGCTACTAGTAAAACTGTGACTACGGAAGCCCTAAGCGGCCATCGATCCATATGTTCAGGGAATGATTAAAAAACAGAATCTGCAATCCTAGGTATGTGAGTCCTGCACTCTACCAGCTAAGCTAACTACTGACTCAGCAAACTTTCATAAAGAAACGCACCTGCCGACCTCTATATTCAGCTATGATTCGTGATCTCGAGATCACGAGAAAATTATCCTGTTAGCATGGGAAAAAATTATTTGAATGAATGGACGTTTAAGGCTTCCGTAGTGACCAGTAGTGATGCTGAAGTTAACAAGACACTGATGCATTATGAAAAACTTGTGTGTAGATTTTCCTCTTTACAGGTATTGGAAAAACGGAGAGCTAAAACACATTGTAGTGTCTCAAAATGCTGATGCAGCTTAACAGCCTGCTTGAGCCTGGTGTCATTACCAACAACTGAAAATGAACCATGAAGCTTTCCCCCAAGCGTTCCAACTTAACAAAGCTTACAATTGGCTACAGCAAGCTGGTGGGGAAAAACTGTGTCAACTGATCCAACACTTGCAGACATACAAAGCCATGGGAAGTAGACAAGTCCAAATGGGCTTTTCATCTGCATGATTCTGCCTTGCTGTACAGTATGTACTACATTACAGTCAAACTGCTCACTGCTGCTTAGCGACAATATCTCAATATGCACATTTCTCTGTATTTTGATATCTTGTTTGTTTGTGTGTGTTGCTGCAGACTGCTCAGTGTGCTTTGCTGTAATCTGGACTCCTTTCTGCTGCTGGAGAGCCAGTACGACATCTGCTCCATGCTGCTGCAGAGTCAGAGAGAAAACGTGACTGAAGTGGACACCAATGATGGGTATGATCCAACAAACATTAAAAATGTGTGGTTGGGAATTAATGTATTACTAACAAAATTTACTTAAACAATTCTGTCATAATAATTTAATTATTTGTATAATTTGTGGATATTCCCAGAGATTATCATAACATTTATAATTTGCAAAACCAAAATACTATATAGTGTTAAAGTAACTTAAGTTCTGCCATACATCCGAAACATGAATACATTCAAAGATATTTAAGATTAGTCATGATGCGTTTTCAGTGTTTGTTTGTTTTTTAAGAGTCCTTGACCTCTCATTCATGTCAGCATGATGTAATTGAACTGAATCTTATCATATTGGATGGAAGCAAAGTCAGAAAGTATAATAATGTAGAATAACACCAGCCTTATAATTGAATGTAATGTAGCTTTTGCAACTAAAAGTTTCTTTGACCGCTATAAAAATGGTTTCTTCTCGCTTGTGAGATGAAAGGATAAATATCAATCTCTATGTATGAATAATACAACCAAGATATAACATGTAAATTAGTGAGAGGTGTTTGTAGGTATATTTCTGAACATTAAGAGCAAGGCTAGCCGTTTCCCCCTACCTCCAGTCTTTATGCTAAGCTTAACTAACTACATATTAATTCAAACTCTGTTCTTAACACACATGTATTAACTTGACATTGATTTTGTCATCTAAAGAAAACCAATACGCATATTTCCCAAAATTTCTTTAACATGCTTTGTGTTCTTCGATATTGCCCTCTTAGCTTTTCTTCAAAATTCAGATTACTCCAGCCAGAGCTGAGTTGAACTGAAGGAAGTTATTTCAGACATTTAGACATTTCATTGGTTTCCTCTCTTGTTCAGTAAAGGCCTTTTGCTCCTCTGTACATCATCCTGATATGACGGAACACTTCAAAATTGAATCATTGCTCAGGATGAGAAATAGTTTGTTTGTTTGCCTTGTCACAAATAAAAATAAATAAAGCTGAAAGAGAGGGAAAAGACCATTTCTGAAAGTGGGTGTTTAAGAGCTCCCCACTCTTCTTAATGGCTGGCAGAACCATGACTATTGGTTATGAATAGAAATGGCCTTGAATTGCCAACTCACATTGCATTTTGGAGAATGATGACTTGTTAATTTAGTCTCCCATCTCCCTTTCCTGCCCTCTCTCCTCCTCATGCTCCCATTATCATCACGGACGTCATCCCCCCTTTTTTAATTTTACCTTCTCTCTTCCACCTCCTCTCTTCACTCAGTTCAACATTTTTTAAACTTTACTTTTTGGCATCTGGTTTTTGATTTACCCTACTTTAAAAAAAAAAAAAATCATCATTCAATATTTTATTTCTTGTTTGCTCTGACCTTTATCATATGAGTGACACCTAAATTCACCAAAACTATTTTGTAAGGGCAATCTGCACATTTTATTTGACCCCAGCTGTATAAGCTTTGATTTATATGACTTTTTTGTTTTATTCACAAAGAAATGTATGCAGATTACACGCAAACAGGCCACAGGCCCTCGGGAAGAGAATAGTGCAAAAAATAGTCCCCCTTTATTACCAATTTCAAGTCCAAATTGCTTCAGCTATGAGAACTATCCACCAAGCCTGACACCCTTCAACCTTAAAGTGCCTTTATAATTGGAGTATTCTCTGATCTTATCTAAAATTCTAACATGGAAACCTTTCTCTCTCTCTTTTCTTACTTGCCTTGCAGTAATGATATAGTCACAGTCATTCAAAGTCTGGACAAAGTCTTTTAGAGGACTTTTGAAAGAAAGTCTGAGCTCCAATAAACTAGAGGAGTCATGAATGAATTGGAAGGGCATATTGACTCTACCAAACATTTTATGGGGTCAAATCAAAAATATATTTTTTATTCCACATATGTATGACAGGCCGCATTTGGTCATCATGGGGTGGTGTTGGAGTAGTGCATAAGACACAGGCCTTTGGTGTGAGAGACCTGGGTTTGAATCCACTGTGAGACACCAATGTGTCCCTGAACAAGACACTTAACCCCTAGTTGCTCCAGAGGCGTGCGATCTCTGATGTATATAGCAAATGTAAGTCGCTTTGGATAAGTGTCAGCTAAATATAATAAATGTATAAATCTTGCAGATATTCTGTCCTCAGATCTCATGTTTAACGTTAACTTAACTTAAGGTTTATTACATCGGGGCCTGGGTCCATTGTAATTTTTCTTGTTTATTTGTGTTCCTTTTGCACCGTCTCTTACACTTCCATCTTTGTATACCCTTCCTCTCTGGTAAACCTCCTCAGGGAGTTCATCATTGACAGTCTGTCAGTGGAGAGGAATCACGTGCTGGTTCGTGTTAGTGTGGTGGGAGGTCCGTCTGAGAGGAAGCTTCCTCCTCGAGCACTGCAGGAGGTCAGCTATGCTCTACTTTTCATTAACCTGGTTTAGAATTGGTACAATATGTGGTTTAAAACTGTTTGTCATCACATTATTTAGCAAAAGTGCAAAAACCTATGTGAAATAGGGAAAACTTGCCATTATTGCTGTATAAAATCCCTAATGGTCTATTTCTGTTTTATCTTTCTTTCAATCATCCATTAATCACAATATTATGAAATTCCCCATTAACACATACTCACTCTTCAAGGTGTACATGATCCAACCCATATACAAACCTATCCAATCCATTTCTATTCTGAGTTTGTACTACTGGTGATTTTATATGAGATGAAAAGAGTCCTACCGATTACCAACAGGGCTTCAGTTGTTGTCTGAAGCCTGCAGCCTTATTTACTCGGCATGTTTGAGGATAGATATCAATTATTTAGGTGTTGTTTACTCTGAGCGCAAAACAGAAAACTAATTTACGCTGAGGTCAAAGAAAGGATATGAAAGAGATTTCTAAAGGGGAGAGTGTAAATGAGTTTAGTGAGTGTTTCCTTCGTCTTTCACAGGTCTCCTTGTATTCATCTTTCCTGTTACTTGTTGGGAGCACAGGGACCGGAAAGCTGTTAAATACGTACTGATTTTGTGTGAAGTTTACAAAACAAATGAAAACTTAATCCACTCTTGGTGAGAAATGAAAAGAGAAGCATCATTGTATTCAAAAAGTGGTTATTCTTGACATTTCAAAGTGTTTGTCAGAATATTTGCTGCCTACAAGGAGACAAAATGAATGCCATGGTCGCTATGAAACATTTTCCATCATAATTCACTATATACGAATTCAAATACTTCATTTGTCAATAGTTGACCTGCGAAATTCGTGAGCGGTCTAGGAGTATGCAAAGACGGCTCCACAGACAGTCATGTTTTTATAAAAACTGTTAAGTATGCACAAAAGCGCTGATTCACCAGGAGTTATTACATGACATCAGAAAGAGTTGACATTCTGTGATTACTCCGCTATTGTGCATGTTTGGCTTTATGCAGATTCTGATCTTATCTTAAAATGTGACTGTTTTTAAGCAAAAATCTAGAGAAATTACTTCTTGAGGTCCACCTGAATTACATAGTGTATAGAGAAACAGCATTTTAGACCATAATGAAAAGTTAATTGAGGTTTTGTGGTTCTTTATTTGAGTCAGATATCAGGTAATTTGAAGCATTCATCAGTGCCTTACAAACATACAGGTCTCTGTGCATCTTTTTCACATCACCTGAGATGTAGACTCTAATACCAGCCGGGATTATCGTGAGCGGAGGGCACAGAGAATTGAATAAAGAGTCCTGCTTTCTAAACCCCATTAGCATTTACAGCACATTACATTGGCAAGTCAAATTCTGAGCTATGACTCAAAAGTTATGGTTCTTCAAAACTAAGCTATGAAAAGCGTGATCAATGCAATACTAAATGGCAGTGGGGAAAGGAAGAGAAAAGGAAAAACGATTGAAAGGAGGAAGAACTGATGGCAAACAAACACAATTTGATAAACTGCTTCCAGCTTGGTGCTAAATAATTGCTCAGTAATGATTTCATCAGCTAGTCAATGTTTGACTGCACTATACTGTTCATAGTTTTGAAATGTTTTTAAAATGCTGTCATCAAACATTGTCATCAGGCAGTTTTTAGAATATTAAATTACAAACACTAACAATCCAACATAATGAAACATCAATAACCCAGCAAACTCACAAACAGCCAAAGCAGCTATTAATTCAGAGCAGTGCAGAAATGAATCAAAGAAAATAATACAAATATACTGAATCATGTATGTTTGAAAAGGCTACAGCAGACCACATGTCAATCATATACACGGAGTAAATTCTAAGCATGTGACAAATATTGTTTGAATTATTGGTCAGTTTAATTAGTTTATCTGCTCATTCCAGGGAGAAGATCCTTACCCCTGGCCCATGTTTTCAAGCTACCCTCTACCTCACTGCTACACTTTAGACCCACCTAAGATCCACCATAGCTCACAGGGTAAGAGGAAAATTGATGAAGTTGTCATTATGAACTGGTGCATTATTGTGATTTTTCAGCCATAGTTTTTTTCCTCCTATTGTACAGACTCTGAGATCAGTGCATTTCTGGCATCTAAAGACTCAAAGAATGAGGAGAGCTGGATGGAGATCTGCCGGAGACTGTACTGCAAAGTTATGACCTCCAAAGCCAACGTTTTAACTGGAAAGGGTAAGCTACTGGTTCACTGGATACCTGCAGATTTGCCTTGTAGCCAGGATTTTCTACCTCCTAGTAGCATAAAGATAACATAGCATATATATTGATAATATTGATATATTGATATCTTTGCCAATAGTGTTGATTGCAAATGCAAATAGGTCTTAGCAATGACTAAGATATGGCAAGTATAAAGGTACTTTATTTGTCACATACATGTAGCGAGATTCATCCACTGCATTTAACCCATCAGTGGGCAGCCACTGTGCAGCACCCTGGGGACCAACTCAAGCTTGAATGCAGTGTCTCGTCACTGACCTACCTAACATGTTTTTGATGGTGCGGGAAACCGGAGCACCCGTAGGAAACCCACGCAGATAAAACGCATGCAAACGCCACATAGGGGTCGAACCTGGGACCTTCTTGCTGTGCGGCCACAGCGCTATCCACTAGGCCACCGTGCTGCCCATAACATGTATAACAGTATAAAAGGCATACTTCCAAACATTTAAAAAGAATACAAGTTTAAATGAAAACTAATAAATACCTAAAAATAATGGAAACTAATGCTTCTAGTAGCAAAGAAGAGCTAACCAAATGGGGTGAACTCCACTCAAATCCAGAGTGGAGATAATGCACCTGATGCTGTTTAGTCACTGCCAGAAATGCCAGAAGGAAAAGAACTTGGGTGCTTTATCAGATAACAGCTAACATTAACAGCTAGGAGGCACACATACAACACATACTCACACCACTCCGTCACACATACATTTCAATTCTCTCTCACCCACACAAATTATCCAATGGTTGAACTGATCAGGGATCAGATAAACACAGCAACAGCTTGTGCGCCTTCTGCATAACCGTATTTGTTGAAATGCTCGAGCTGCTTTTCTCTCTGTCTCAAACAACCGAGTGAATGACCGCTATTTTCAATGTAACTTCAGCTTCCATTATCACAGTGACCCTGTAGTGTGGAGGCTACTTTCACAGGTCGCTTACTGACATAGTTACACTTTGGTGGACGAAAGATTACGTATGTGAGTTTGAGAGGCTGATGCATTTACATCTGGCTATAATGTGTCTCAAACCACCTCTTGGGATGATTAGGGCAATTGGATTTGAATCCCTCTGAAATGCTTTTTGGATTAATTTAGACTTTTTTGAGTTATTATATAATATATAGAAGAATAACTATGTGATCCACCCAAGATGCCTGAAGTGACTACGTAAAAATGAGGTCAGTGAAGTTTTAGTATAAAATACATGTCACAAGTGATACTATACTAAGACAAAAGAAAAACAACTTGTGGGTCATAGAGACAAAACTGTTTTACTGTATGTCCAAATTTCTCACAGTTGTGCCCCTGTGGGCTGATCAGTACCATTCTGTCAATTGTGCCCAAGGTACGTTTTACTAAAGGCCAGATACTGAAGTGATGTGTACCCATGGAAACAATGACATTTTCCACTCACAAATTCATATTTATGATAAAGAAAATGCTGCAAGAATTTGTGCACCTCCGCATGTTCATGATGCACACACAAAATAAACTAAACTATTTCACCTTTTACACCATCAGTTTCCAAAATGTCCTCTACCAATCAGAACCAGAAGGAGCTTTATTGCCAAGTAGTGTTTTACGCATATGAGGAATTTGCTTTGGTGATAAGGTGCTACACGTAGACAAAGCATAGAGTTGACATAAATAAATGTAGAAATATATACATTTGGAATAAACAAAAGCAAGTTATATAAGCATAATAAAAGAATAGAGAAAAATAATACAACTATTTGCAGAGAGAGAACAACGGGGCCGATATTTACATGTGCATTACTCCGGTTTGTGTTGTGCAGACGTATTGCAACGGAAGAGAAAATTGTGTACATAAATGACAAAATATAAAAATATAGAACAACATTGATTAACAATAAACAACAAATACGTGCAATATGCCAAGTTTGTGCATGATATGAAATAAAAAAACAATTACAATAAAGTTATATGGGTAAATGTGTGTCAAATATAAGTAAGTGGAGTAACTCGTTATGATACACTTTAACTACACTACAACATGGATTCTGTATTAAACTGCTGAAGTCTTCCATTATGCTGCAGGTGCACCACCCACACCACCTCAAGATTACGTTGAGATGTCCATGAACCTTGTTAAGAATCACATCACTGCCATTGAAAGCACATATGAAATGGCACTGACACCCACTTCTTTTTACATAGGAGTAAATATTGTAGCTGTGAGTTGAAAATACATTCAAATGAAGGAGGGCTGATAATCTTGTCATAAATGTGTGTACTGTACTGTGATTGCTTCCTTTCATCAGTACAGTGTTTTAAGAAACATCTAGTAAAGGAAATTGTAGCATATATAGGCTGACTACAAAAATTAACCTATTCTAAGGCAATTTATTGAACATTCACATGTCTAGCTCTGAGTGAGAAGACGCTGTGATTATCACTTGTCTTCGACAGGCTTCTATACAGCTGTAAGATGAAAATGATTAGGTGTACTATCTCTTCATCAAAAGACTCATGATTAGAACTGTTTGCATGTTCAATGCCTCACTATCTTTTCTTAAGCGTATTGGTTGCTTAATTGTTCTCTCTCAACAGATCGTCATTGAGATGCATTCACTTCTGCTCAGAGTCACTGGGGTGCATTATGATCAGCTCTCATTGGATTTCCTAATTTGGCAACCAGGGAAACGATCACATGCAAAGAAATGTTTGATGACAAACAAAAAGCCAATTCTATCATCACATATGAAAAGGCCTTGATTGCCATTGTATTATATATGCTTTTTTTAACAGAGCTAATATTTTGTGACATAGCTTCCCTTCCCCTGGTGCCTCTTAAGAAGAGACCTTTTCATGCTGAGTAGGAAATGGCAATCAATGGTCATTGACTAGCAGTGTGTGAACTATACCATGGGTTTCATCTGGATGCTTTAACATAAATGAATCATGGCGTTTTGGCATGCAGACTGAGTGGAACTATTTTTTTTTTCTTCTTAAAGTGAAGTGAGTGACGTTTATGATATTGCACTGCCATGCTTTGATGGTGATGACAAGAATAGCAAGCCATGCTAGTATCTATATTAAAGTAGTGATGAATCATATATCAATAATAAGCACATTTTACGCATTATGATGACGATTTAGAAAAATAGAAATTCATTGCAAAAATACCATATTGTCAAAATTTCACAAATTATGTTTTGTAGGGGAGCTCATGTCTTATTAAGAGGAGCAAAGCTCCCCCTGGCTCAGTTATAATTCGCACCCTGGAAATACATTAAAAATGTATTTGATGAATTACATTAATTTACTGCGATACTTGAAGTGGACTAGAAGTGGTGCTGTTATTTTACATATTGGCACTGTGCAGAAAACATCATACATTTCAAATGCCACTCAATTCACATATGTATTAACAGCAACAGCGAAAAAGCGCACCTGCAATGTGGCACTTGTGTTAAGTGGAATTTTACTGGTTTCTTCTTATTGTACAGTTTAGTATGATATCTGAAAGTGTCATCAGGAGGAAACTTTTGAGTAAAACTTGATTCAAAATGCAAATATTAAGTTAAGTAAGTGATACAACTGGGAAAATACAGCTGCCATCTTTAAAGCTACTTTATATAAAAGAAAAAGTCGGTGCAGTAGCAGGAAATTCACACAGAAAAGTTTTTTTTTTTTTAAATACTCAAAGCAAACAAAGGTGTGATCAGTTTAGAATCTCTGTGAAAATACACTGAACAAAATTATAAACGCAACACTTTTGTTTTTGCCCCCATTCATCATGAGCTGATCTAAGACTTTCTCTATGTACACGAAAGGCCTATTTCTCTCAAATATTGTACACAAATCACAAAATCTGTGTTAGTGAGCACTTCTCCTTTCATTTCTGATCTGTCTATATGAAAAGTGAATGTTTTGGAGTTTTTTATTATTTGTGTTTTTTTATGCCAGTGACACAGTGATTGCTAAATTAAGCATGCATACTGTATGTTTCACAGGAAAAGTTCTTTACAGACTTACTTAACTTGGCTGCTTAATAAGTAGAGGAGCTGAATATTTGAATTTGTAAAGTGGATTTTCTTTGAACTCAAGGTTTGTTGTAGCTGTCCTAGCATACATTTAATGTTTGTGTCTGTTTTTTCTCCCCAGTGCTGGCTGACCTTCTGGAGAAGGTTGTGGCCCATCTATCTAACTCTGCCACAGAGTGCTTCTTCTCTCCTGCTCAGTACAAAGGTCAGTAGAGGAGGGCAACACATTCAGTTTTCTTCTTGACAATTAAGTTAAAGGAAAATATCTAAAGGGCTCTCTGTGGATCAGTGCAATAAGCCAGATTCTTTGTACATAAAATGCCTTCTTTTGGTGGAGTGTATTGCCACTGTCCCTCTGGGGATATGTTTTTGCAGCAACAGCTTCCTTTCAGGTCTCCTGTGGTGAACAGAACCCTGACTATGAAACTGTCTCTTAGGATGTGGAATTCATCTAGTGGCAACCATTGCTAGTCCGGGTTGTAGAGTGATAGAGGGGGCCCAAAGTGATACAGTTGGGTTCAGCACAATATGTTAGGCCAAAGATTGTAGTGTGCCCCTGTGGGCTGTAGTTGTAGAGATCTGCACTCATACTGGATGTCTTGGAGAGGGGCCGAGCTGTCGGCATCATCCAAGACACTTGTGTGTGAAGTCATGTAGCAGGAGAGTGTGCATAACCCAGTAAACCCAGTGGATGAGTTATCCTAAGATTTTGAAGGCTCTGAATGTTGTTGAGCTATCTTGGTTGACACACCTTTCCAATGTTGTGTGGAAGTCGGGGACAGTCCCTGTAGATTTGCAGACGGGTAAAAAAAGAAGAGAAATTCCTCCTCATTTTCAGAGCAGTGTTTTACCGCAGGTTAAAATTAGTTATGTTTCCCATATTAAATGACTGAATGATTTCAGTAGGTTGGCTTGTTTGGTAGCCAGTGGGCTAAACAACCTGATCAGACTGATGGCCCAGAAACCCAGAAACTTTTCTTAAATTTAATGAAGTGCTAATTGCATATTTATATATACACACAGGTGTGTGTGTGTGTGTGTGTGTGTGTGTGTGTGTGTGTGTGTGTATGTAATTCAAAATTCAATTATTACCATGGTTGTTGTAAGTTGTAACAACAAAAAGCAAAACATTTTTTTACTTGTATTACTTCTAACATGTTGCAACAAATTCCCTCCCAAGTCCCTGAATAAATGGAAATAGTTCTTTATGTTTAATCAAGTTGAACATGATACATGCTATATCAGCTTAAATAATCACAGCCTTAGCATTGATAGTCGTCTCAGTACTGTATGTTTTAAATCAAATCATCACTGGAAATAATGAAAATTACATTTAAATTGAATCAACGGTGCTATATCCCCCTGCTCAAAAAGTGTTTTGATGTCTGTGCAATCACCTGGCACTGATTAGTAATATGATTATAATCATGACGCTGATACTGCCTTAAGCACTGGAGGTGCTGAACCCAAATGCAGAGAGATCAGACAGAGTCGAGTACAATTTTAATGTATTTATATAGAACAGAAAGGCCAGAAGTTTACAGCGAACAGCAGAAGGGCAGAAAAAAGGAGAACACTATGACTGTAGTTGAAATGAGCAAATGTACGTTATCTGGTCAGTTGCTTCTACGGCGACCTAGAAATGAACAGTCGCATTTATATACTCTAGGAGGTAGTTAGGATTGTGACTGGTTAATTAAAGCATCACATTGCTGATGTATTGCAACCAGCATCTTATGGGAAAAGGTGAAAACACACTACTACAGAACATGAGATGGAAGAACAAACAGGTCTTCATTAGTGTGTCCTAACATGACTGTTAAGGATGGCTACTGTGGCAGTGTGTCTTTTGAGATTCAGTATTGTAGGCTCCTCCCTCTGAATATTTCAAGGACTACCAAAGGATATGTGGAAGCTGTTACTTCACAAGAACTATTATAACAAAACAGGAGGAGAGGTGCAGTCAGTATAAGTTGTGTCAGTAAAGGTCAAGTGTTAGAGCACAGTTTTATTGTCTAGAATAACCGAGCTCTTTTCACATGTGCTGTTACCTACAACTATTAGTATTGTCTCCATAGGTCTTCCAAAAGTAGCACCTTCTTCAACAGTAAAGACCTTCCAGCAATTACTATGCTACTCAAATATATTAAATTTGACTTACTGTTGGAATTTAATAGAAGTTTATGCAAATGCATTGCTTGTGGTTATAGCTTGTTTCTTACATGATGGCAATATAAAACATAACCCTTTATAACACTGTTTTATTACAGTAAGTGTAATGAAAAGTTATGTTTCATGCCAGATGTCAGTTATGTATTAATGCATTTTACTGACTCTTGTCCCAGGTAAAACATAGTCCATTATTACTATTTAACTTTAAAGGGGCTTTATGTAAGTTTTTTTGATTTTAATAAATCAAATTTTCATTGCCTTATTGTCAATGGTCTCAAAACTCACTTAGAAATAAAGAACACACCTGTTTTCTCCATTGCTTGCATCAGCCACTATTCTGCTTTTAATGTGAGGTCTCCGGTTCGGATTCAGCCCTGTGCGCGCTCCCCAGCCTCTCTCGCACTACAGCGACAACTCGGCAGCTAACGACATGCAGTCCACTGACACCATTAAACAACTGTCCCACAGCAAAGCACAGGCTCCACGTAAGGATCAAAAACAGACCAAACAGGTTCAGATGATGTCAAGTAAGAACAAAGTGAGCATTAGTAAAGCTGGAGAAACACAGAAAGTCACGTTAGCTCGCCGGCTAACGTCGAGCAGTTGCTAATGTTATCCGGCGCAAAGTTATATCGCTTTCCACATTAATTCACCAACTAACGCGACCCATATTACTGTCCTGTGTACCACAGATATTATGTCAAAGTGTCAAAGCCTGCAAGAACTGATGTTACGGTAAAAAGCAAATGTGGAGTGATTTGTTTACTATCCTATAGTGATGCAGCCAGTTAATGCTACATTAGCTCAGACCTGCCGCTGTTTGCTTCGTAACGTTCAATTTATATTTATTGCCTTTTACCGATATTCAGGTACACACCTTCTCCACCTCTCAGTCGCTGTAACTAACATGACCCACACAATATACAACCCAGAGGAAGAGCCATCCACTGACACTACAGTAAATTTACTTTCACCGCAGATCTCGTTATAATATTCAGTCCAGCTCACTACCCGTTTCGTTATCATCCAATACATTTAGCTGTGCTGACATTGCTGAGCCTCCGGTGAAAAATACACAGATAGTAAAGATAGTTACTGAAAGCAGCAGGCGAGCGATGTAGCACGTCGGCTAAATGCAGTAAATGTACCGTGACGTTGCAGTGGGAGTTTCCAGCATATTGTGTGAAGCTGTCTCACTGCCTGTCTATAGCTGCTTTCACTCTGTCAGTCGTTATGGTCATTAGGACTACCCGTTGCCAAGACTGAACGACGGGACTTGGTAAACAAAGTTTGAGGACTAAAACTGGACTATGACGTGACTTTTTTGTTCACTTGCATCCCCACCATAGAAGCAGTAGAAACCGTAAGGAAACAGCTAACAAAAGATAACACCCTGGACAACAGAACTAGCCTTAGCCCTGATCAGATGTAAATTACTCGACCTCTGTCTAAACACCACCTATTTCCAGTACAACGGTGGATTCTACAGACAGAAGCATGGCTGTGCCATGGGCTCACCGGTATCCCCAAACATCTACATGGAAGAAGTGGAGAATAAAGCCCTCAACTCCTTCAGAGGAACAGCACCGAGCCACTGGTACAGATATGTGGACAACACCTGGGTCAAAATTAAAAGCCAGGAAGTGCAAGCCTTCACAGAACACATCAACTCTGTGAACAGTAACATCAAGTTCACACGAGAAGATGTCCACAACAACAGTTTGGCCTTCTTGGACTGCGCTGTACACATTGAAGAGGACAAGAGCCTGCAGATTGGTGCAGAACAGAAAACCCACACAAACAGACCGATACCTACTCTTCGATTCACACCACCCACTGGAGCACAAGCTAGGGGTCATGAGAACACTGCACCACAGAGCGGAAAACGGCGCCCAAGCCAGAGAGAAGGAACAGAACCACCTGAAGGAAGCACTTACAGCCTGTGGATACCCTAAATGGACCTTTGTGAAAACAGCCACAAGATCCAAGAAGAACAAAACTACAGGGGATGAAGAAAAGAAGGTCAAACGCAACAACATTGTGATTCCATACGTGTCTGGAGTATCAGAGAAACTCAGTAGGATTTTCAACAAACATAACATCCCTGTGTTTTTTAAACCCCAAACACACTAAGACAGATGCTGGTCCACCCCAAGAGGTGTCGAGGAAGCCATCTACACCCGGGTTGAGAAGCCGTCATTGAACAGGGGAGGGGGTCTACGCCTCCACTTATCCCCCACTTACAATGCTGTCCTTTCATCACTTCCCAGGAAACTCAACAAACGTAACCTCTTGGCCTCAGGTGAAGATACCAACGATGGTCGTTCAGTCTTAGGCGTTGTCGTTACAACAACAAGAAACACTAACGAACCAGCGGAATCGACGATCGTGGCAAACGACCCCACTGAGGTTAAATAGCTGAGTTTCCCTGCCAGTCAGTCAGAACTGAAGAAGTCCCTTGGATGAGGGACGAAACGTCTTCTAGTATCTTCAACCAAGTCCAGTTGCCCTTGACTTTAACCTCCGTTGGATAACTATGACCTGGATGACTGAGAATCTTCACAGATACCCTTTAAATCTAATCTTCCTAACACTTACTGTTAGATGATATTTTAGCCAGCAAGAGCATTCAAGCTGTTAAAGGTGGAGTACGCGATTCTAATCCAAAATGTGTTTTTGCCAAAGTCAGCGAATATCTCCTTACATTCCGCTACCTGTCCGTTCTGTGTGTGTGTTAAAAAAAGTCCCGTGTTTGTATACAGCCTTGGCTCTGTAAATAGGAAACAAAGTGGCTCGCACCCCGCCACACAACACTATTCCAGCCATGATTTGTGTGTCAGGTTAAATGACTTGCCTACGGACATTCAGCTTTCTTTCTAGTTCACCATGACATGCTGTTTGTTATAGAATATTGTTAGGGGGCTTGATTGGTTTAACAGGGAAAGGTGACACAGGTCTAGCTGACCCCAGTGTTCACTGACCTTCCAGCTCTAGTTATTTCTCTCCTGGTCCTTGTTGGGGACCACAGTTAGA